CATTTTGCAGTCCTGAGGGATATGGGTCAGGCAAGGAGTAAAGTTAAGCCCCTGAACTTCAGGAAAGCAAACTTCCAGCTCTTCAAGGAGGTAGTCAATAGGGTACCCTGGGAGACTGCCCTCAGGGACACAGGAGCAGAATTGAGCTGGCAGATTTTTACTGAAGTCTTCCACAGAGTTCAAGAGCTAACAATTTTGAGGAGCGTGAGACTGAGCAAGGAAGGCAAGAGACTGGATGGCTGAGTAGGGAACTTCTGGTCAAACCAAAGGGAAAGAAACAAAGACACAGGCAGTGGAAACAAGGACAGGTAACATGGGAAGAGTATAGGGATGAAGTTCAGTTGTGCAGGGATAGTTTGGGGAAGGCCAAGGCAAAGCTAGAACTGAACCTGAAAAGGAATGCAAGGAATAACAGGAAAGTCTTCAATAGGTAGGTTAACCAGAAAAGCAAGGACTAAGAAGGTGTACTCCCCACCATAAACAGTGCTAGCAAACAATGGATGAAGAGAAGGCTGAGGTACTCAACTTTTTTGTCTCAGTCTTCAATGACAACATCTCTTCCCCACACCTCTCAAGTGGATGGATGACAGGATGGGGACTGGGGTAGGAGAGTGTCCCTCAAACTGCATGCAAAGATCAGGTTCACAAACACTTGAGGAACCTGAATGTACACAAGTCTGTGGGATCTGAAAAGATGTATCTCAGATTCCTGAGACAGTTTGCTGATGTAATTCCTAAACCATGCGCCACGGTATTTGAAAAGTTGGTAGTCAGGTGAAACCCCAGGTGAGTTGAAAAAGGGAAACATTGTACACATGTGTAAAAAGGGCAGAAAGGAGGACGCTGGTAACTACCAACCTGTCAGCCTCACCTCTGTGCCTGGAAAGATCATGGATCCTCCTAGAAGCTGCACTAAGGCACATGGGACAGGGAGGTGATTCAGGACAGCCAGCACGACTTCACCAAAGGGCAAATCCTGCCTGACCAACCTAGTGGTTTTCTATGATGGAGTGACTCCTGCCTCCCTGGGAAAGGGTGAGGATGTAATTTATATGTAATGCTTTTGAAATGTAAGGCTTTTGACAGTCCCATACAACACCCTTCTTTCCAAACTGGAGAGTGATAGACTTGACGGATTAGATGAATTAGGAATTGGTTGGACAGTTGCATCAAGAGGGTAGAGATCAACAGCTCAGAGTCCCAGTGAGCATCACCGACCAGTGGTGTCCCTCAGGGGTCTGTATTGGGGCCAGTGTTATCTGATATCTTCATTAATGACACACATGAAAGGATCAAGTGCACCCTCAGCAAGTTTGCAGACAGCACCAAGATGAGTGATGCTCTTCACTCACCTGAAGGATGGGATGCCAGACATAGGGATCTAAACAGACTCAAAAGTGGGCAAATGGGAGTCTCATGAGATTTAACCAGACCCAGTGCAAGGTGCTACACCTGGGTTGGGGCAACCTCCAGTACCAACACCAGCTGGGGGATGAAGGGATCAAGGTCAGCCTTTCCAAGAAGGACTTGGGAGTGCAGGTGGACAGGAGGCTGGACATGACCCAGCATTGGCATTCACAGCACAGAAAGCCAATTGTATCCTGGGTTGCATCCAAAGGAGTGTGGGCAGCAGGATGAAGGAGGGGATTCTGCCCCTTTGCTCTACTCTGGCAAGACCTCACTTGCAGTGCTGCATCCAGCTCTGAGGTCCTCTGCACAAAAAAGGACAGACCTGTTACACCAATTCCACAGGAGGCCACCAAAATGACTAAAGGGACAGAGCACCTCTCCTTACAAGGAAAGGCTGAGAGAACTGGGAATGTTCAGTCTGGAAAAGAGAAGGCTTCAGGGTGACTTAATTGTGGCCTTCCAGTACCTGAAGGGAACATACCAGAGAGAGGCTATTTACAAGATGTAGTGACAGGACAAGGGTGAATGGTTTCAAACTGAGAGTTGGTTTAACATAGGTATTAGGAAGAAATTCTTTACTGTGAGAGTAGTGAGGCACTGGAACAAGTTATCCAGAGCAGTTGCAGATAGCCCATTCCTTGAAGTGTTTAATGCCAGACTGGATGGGGCTCTAAGCAGCCTGGTCTAGTGGGAAGTGTCCCTCCCCACAGCAGAGGTTTTATCTTTAAGATTGCTTCCAATTCAAGTAATTCTATGATTCTATAACAAAACAAAATATACACACAAGACAGTGGTCCCTGACTGAAAGTTCAGTTTTATAAACAGATAAAAAATTGATCTAGACAGAACAGTGAAGAGCACTGAAAGACTACATATTACTTATCATATACCAAAAGTAAGCAGTATTTCTTGCAGCCTTAAATAGAAGGATCGGGAGGAAATAATTTTAAAAACAAATGAGATTGTGAATCTGAGTGACATGAAAATCAGAATAAAATGACAGACAATCGATTAAGGATGATGTAGATTAAAAGCCATGTTTTAAAGTGAGATTTTCAAAACTCACTATGAATTCAAGAATAATTTTTAAGTTTGTGCTGGAAGAACATGAATCTGGAGAAGAAAGGAAGCTCTACAGGACTCTGGAAGAAAGTGATTGAGTTACCAAAAGCTACTCAAAAGCATCCTACTCCAGGATATAAGACAAAAGCATAAGCAAACTTCAGTGAGTCCCACAGAAAAAACATGAAGTAATGAAAAACAGCCTCTCAAGAATACAGTAGAAAGCAAGGAGGTAATCAAAAGACACAGGCAGGTGGAACAACACTTCAAGAGTAGCACAGCTGATAGTCATAATGTAGTCCACAGAAAAATGGAAAATTAGGCACTGGATCTGAACCTTAACTGGCAAAAGATCATCATAAACACTGATTACAATTGCAGTAGAGCACAACTGAAGCCACAGTGGAGGACAAGAGCCCCAGACAATGCACTCAAAGAACTTTGAGATTAAAAAAGAAAATGGAAATTAAGAGGTAGTTGCAAAAGCAAGAGAGGCCACAAGCATTTTGTATACTCTTTTCTAAACATAAAAGAGGAACACTTATTTCTAGCAGCATTATGAGGGAAAAGAAAAGACAAAGGAGTTGAGCAACTGATTGAGGGAAAGAGGTAAACAACAAAGTTTAAGAGAGATAAGGAGATATATTTGTAATGTGACATAAAGGTAGATGAAACGGTTCAGAAGAAGAGGAAAAAAAATTTTCACTTGTAAGGAGGAGATGATTTTAACAGTTGGAAGAAAGTGCCAAAGAGTAAGCCATAGCACATTCAATCAGAAAGTCATGAAGATTCCATGCAGAGAAAGAACCAGACGTCAAACAACATGCAAAAACCCACATAAAAATGTGGATAATGGGCTGCTATTATTGAACTAGTTTGATTAGAGCCTCTCAACACAGCATGTTTTAGCACAGCTGGGCTTATGGCCTTTGCACAAACAGGGACAAAAAGGATCACTGGATGATAACTCAAGCAGTTCAAGAACTTGTAAAAAAGGCATTTGTTATAGGGAAAACCAGAATACTAAGAGAAAGAAACACCCTACACACAGTAAAGAGGGAAAATCAGGCTGGAGAGATACAAATTCAAAATGCTGATGAACTACCAGACAAATGCAAGCATGGCCACATTGCGAGTAGAATCCAAATGGTGGTGGAGAACCTGAAAGAAACCTTGCAATTATCAGAGATAAGAAATTGAGCAGTTGCATCAGAACAAGTACGCAGGCATGGCTCGATGAAAACCAAATGAAATTAACTGACTATGTTTAATGAGAGACTAGAAACAAGAATGCAAGCCAAATCAAGTTAGGGCAGAGAAGCATGTAATTACTGTCAAAGAACAGTTGAGTGAAAATTTAGAACAAGCCAAGAATCAAACTTGCAGATAAAAAACTCATGGGGAGGAAACAACCACACTGTATGTAACAATACAGAGGAAAGAAGATAAAAACTGGATCCCAACACTGTTTAGAAAAGGAAGAATCTGAAGGCAACAGGGAAAAAGTAGTTCTATGCCTCTTCCATGGGCTGACCCACGACAGAGAACAATACAAAAAAAAGATGACCATAAAAAAAGCAATGCAGGGTACTGATGATGGCAAAGCAAGGCACATAACTGTGGTTTTAAAGCATCAGCTTCTGCCTCAGGAAATCAAGAACAGTGAGTGTGTCCATCCACAATCAAGCAGTTGTAAATAAAGCTTTTCCTTTGTCCCTGCTTTAATTTTACCTATTTCTTCTCACTCATTGTATAATGACACTCTGGAGAAAGTAAATTATCAGTGTCATTTGTGAATGCTGAACTCATCAGTATTAAACCCACACATATTTCACTCAATGCTTACAGACCTTTGTGCAATTCTGCTCTATTCACCTTATTTTGTAAGGACTGCAAATTCTCGTACAGTTGTGTAATATGCATTATAGTGTAGGGTAACTCACAATGGAAGGAGCCCCTGCTGAAAGGAGAGCCAACTTCAAAGGCAGATCCACCCTGAGATGTAAAGATGCTTACGGTTCTGCCCAGAATCAAATTCTGTATCTCCAAAACCAGGGCATTCCACAGCTTTTCTGTCATTTCCCCTCCCTCAATTCAATGTCTGATTACCCTTAATGAAATTTTTTGCCAATTGAACTAGAATTTTCTTTGCTGCAATTTCTATCTGCTACCACTTCTCCTTTCACTCTATGACTTCAAGAAGAGCCCTAGAGAACACTAAATATCTAACATATATAAGAAGGAAGGACAAAGAGATCACTGTAGTAATGAGAAAGCCTTTGGACACCCAGAACTTTTACTAGGTAATAAGCACCCAGCTTTTTCATGCCCAAAAAATCTTATCTGATCAGGTGTGGCAGAGATCTAAATGATGCCATCAAAAGGACATCACTTTTATTAAGAGATTTATTAAAGATAAAAAATGTCTGTTTAAGACATGAGAAAAGAAAAAGGTAAAACAGTAGTCCAAGTGGTATGTATTTGCTAAAGAAAGAAAATAATTTTGTATAGAAAGGTTAGGTACTCACCATTTCTCTCGCAATCTCCACAGCTTCCTGCAGCCCATAGAGCCTGCCACAGACCAGGTAGATCCCATTGGCCCAGAGAATACAACCCTCATGGACCCAAAATTCATTGCTGTCAAGAGGTAGTTCAGGAATTTGTAACTCCAGCTCAGTGCCACCTTCTGAAGTGGGCACAGACGGTTTTGAGTCCAAAGGAGTCTTTTCACCACCACTGCCACCATCAGTGGTTGCTTTTTTACAAGAAGCTCCCCTTGAAAGTGACCGAGAGGCTCCGCTACAGTCCTCAGAGCGGTGCCGCCTCTTAAAGCGGGGATGAGCAGCCAGGCTTCTTTGTTCCTTCTGTTGTTGCTGTTCCTCCTCCTCTTCAGTATCTGTCTTGGAACCATTAGAAGCACTTTTGTGCCGTACCTTGACCTTGCTCTGCATTTCTGTGGCCCTCTTTGGAGGCGGATTCTTGGGCAAGGTAGCTGCGTAATCCTGGGGGTAGAAAGGACCAAAGAGGTCACCCATGTTACGATAGCTGGCCCATTTGCCACACAGGCAGCAAACCAGGTGCCCCAAGACAGAAGACTCCGTTACTACAGGGCCTTGCAGCATGAAAGTTGAGGTGGGCAGCACTTTGCTCTCCGCATTGCTAGGAGGGGGCGTTGAAGACCTCTGTCCTTTCCGACCCCTCACCAATTTGTTCTGCTCCTCTTCCTCCGCATTTATGATTGTGCACACAGCGCCTAATTCACACTTGTTTACCACATGAATGTAAGGGAAAAAGGACTTATTCTTGGAGTCAGTTTTATCTACAGACTGGGTAGCATATTTAAGCTTGATCTCTGGTTCTTGAGGCTCCACGATTGGAGCAGCCCGTCTAGGCTTCCGCTTCCGTGGCTGTGCTGCAGGTTTGCGCCTCTCCCTCCTTTGCCTCTTGGGCTTTGGCTCACCAGCACCCACCCCTTCTGCAGGTTGTGATGGTGCTGGTGGCGGAGGCGGGGGCACAGGTAGCTGCTGCTGTTGCTGCTGCTTCTTCTGTTTGTTCACACTCCCAATTGGCCGCCCTTTCTTCTTTCCAGAGGGGAAATATCCCTTTGGAGGGAAACCATCTGGCTTGGGTGAAATGTTTGTCAAATCTCCATCTTTTTCCTCAGACTTTGGATTTGGTTCAGAAATGAACACACTGGAAGGGGAAATTGTTTTTGAGTCAGAAAAGGTCAGAGTTCCAGCTCCACTTACAGATCCATCAGACCTTCCCTGACCACTTGACTTCTGAGAAGGTGGTGGTGCTGCACTGGATCCTGCTCCCTCTTTGCCAATACTGGTGGTTTCAGGGACCTCTTTTTTGTTTTTATCATCCTCGCTGCTTTGCCACTCTTCTGAAGATCTTGGAACAGTTTTTTCACCTGTTGTATCCTGGCTTGCTGGCCCCACTTGATCTGATATCTCTCCTTTTCTTTTCTCAGCCTCTGGTCCATGTCCAGCCACATTTCCTCCTTCAGGCCCACTCTTGAGGGACAGGATGTCATCAAGAGTGACAGTATCTGGACCAGTTTCAGCACTGTTGGCAGAAACACTTCTCCTGATATTGGGAGATGTAATTTTCTGAACAATAGCTTCCAGTTTTAATCCTCGCCCCTTTCTTGGGGGCAGTATTTTGGTCTTCGCCGGGCTTGTGAGGGACACAGCAGGACAATTCCTATTATCAGGACTTGGCAGGTCCTTGAAGGAATCTCCCTTTGCAACTGACTTGCCAGCATCTTGGCTTTGAGATGAATGGGCATAGGAGTTGTATGTTTTATCGGCTCCTTCTTTTGCTGAAGTCATCAGTCGCCCTTTATCTTCACTGCCACTGTTCTTCATATCATGTCTTTTGGTAGGGATAGGAGAGATGAAAGAACGGACCCTCCTCCTCATAATTAATGGGTTTTGCGGAGACTGGTCCTCCTGGCCAGGGAGCCTAAGCATAGCATTACTAGGCTTGGGCAAATCTGTAGATTCCTCTCGTCGATGCCCATCGCTTTCTTGAGGGCAAAATCTTTTTTGGTTGGCTGCTCCAAGAGGGCCACTGCTTTTGGCAGGAGAAGTTTGCCGAGAGAGGTCCCAACCAGATTCATGATGCTGCAATTTCTGGCTGCCATGTTTCAGTTCAGTGCATTTGCTCTGAGTACTGTCACTCCCCATGACACAGCGCCCAGCTTCCTGGCTTCCAGTATCATGGTAAGAGCTGCCTGGAAGGTACATCATTCCATCCTTGTCATTTTTTAAGGGACTCCTTACTCTTTCCAGAAACTGCTGTTGTCTTGGGCTCTTCCTTGCTCCTTCCTGCCTGTGCTGAGCTGCAGCAATCACACCCTGAGCAGCGCTGCTTGCCCAATCTTTGTATTCTTCTTGCTGTTGCTGGTATATCTGTCTCTTGTAATGATACTGGGAATTCAGACTCTGGCTGGGGTCACCAAAAGCATGAGGCCTAGCATTTGTGTGATATGCTGAAGCCAGAGATGGGCCTTCCGAATTCTGAGGGTAGACAGAATGCAAGGAACCCCTGCTAACTCTTTCAGATAGTGTCATGTGTGGGTTCATGTGATGCAGATCTGCCCCTGGGCCTCTGCTTCTGCCTGGTGACATTTTCAGCTTATCAGCAAGATCCTGATATTGAGAGGGTGATTTACCCCTTCCAGTTCTGCCAGGTCCTCGTCTCATCTGTGTTGATCTGTTGTCCTGCTGGGGCATGTAGTCTGGAGCAGCATCAGAGACTGCTGCTCCAGGGCTGGCATTCCCTCGGAAAGATTCATGCTTGATGCCAGCAGGATGACAATGGTCTCCTGTTTTTTTATTGTTGAGACTAGCTGAGCTCTTTGACTGTTCAAAATCTTCTTCCTTTATTTGCCCACTGTGAGCTTTCATCTTTGTTTCCATGGATACTAAACCACCAGGGAGTATTACTGACTGGCTCAAGCCAGGGGCAAGACGTTCACTCCTTCCGCTTCTGGCCTCGGGACCCATGTGCCCTATGGGGTGAGGGCCAGGATCTCTTACAAGTTGCCTTAATGGAGATATGTCACAGATCACTGATCTCCTCTCTGAGAGGGCTCCTGCCTCATGGGCAGCAGACTGAGACTCTACATCGAACTTTCTAGCAATAGGGTAATCAGCTAAATTTATCTGCTTCATGTCTGGAGCTGCACTGCTAGACTTCCTATCCCAGGGACCCCAGTGAGGGCCTTCCAGGAGAGACCCCATGCTTTTGTTTAAGAGGCCTCTATTGGTCAATTCATTGGTTTGACTAATTAAAACATTGGGTCTCATGGCTCCCTCCAAACTCCCCGCCATCCCAGAATGCTCCTGCGCGTTCCTAGAATACCTTCTATCTGGATGATGGTGGTACCCCTGTAAAACCTCCTGTAGGAGGCTAGGAAACTTCTCATTACGGCCTTTGCGCTCACTATGCCCTGCAAAATCCCCCTTTTCTTGACCAGATGGATACTGTGGAAAGCCACCGATACTTCTCTGTATACCAGGTGCTATATTATCCTTGTAGCTGTATCTTAAACTGCCAGGAGACTTGGAAGATTCTGTTCTTGCAGGAAAATTTGGCCCAACAACTGCATGACCAGGCTGACTGTTCCCCTCCCCATTATGGTTAGTGTTATCGCCACTTTTGCTCCCTTTACCTCCTCCTTGAGTTTCTTGCTGAGTCCCTGCATGCCCAGCTTCTTTTGCTCCACTAGTGCTAGCTGGTGCTTGAGGGGCTGTGGAAGCATCATCTTGTGCAGGTTTATCTTGTCCACCTGACTTTTCTACTCTTCCTGTCATGGCTTCCCGGGAGACAATCACCCCAACAGCCTTTTCATTAACTTTTGGGGCATTTTCCACAGCCACTACAGCTTCCTTCCCATCAGGGGAGGCCACATCTTCCCTAGCTGCAGGACTGCTGCTGAGTTTTGATGGCTCATTCTGAGAGCCTTGTGCTGGTGAGGAGTTGGGTCTCTCTAAATTACCCCCTTTGTAAGTGGTGTCTGAGCTGGTGCTCTGGCCACTCAGCTGTCTCACCCTTTCCCCATGATCTTCTGAACTACTGGAACAGCCACCATCCAGAGACTCTGCCATGGGAGACTTGAGTTGCTCCTCTGCCTGGGAGGAGCCTTCTGAGTTGGTGCAGCTGTCAGCCTTCTTGGAAGAGGATGATCTTTTGGAACTTTTTTTCTGAGGTGCCAAGGCATCCGAGAGCAGCATGTGCTGGACTGTGTTGGGCAGATTAGCAACTTGAGAACTTAGAGCACTCAGGCTGCTCAGTCCTGGATCTGTGAGCCTTTTTTCCTGCAGTCCTTCCAGTCCAAACCCCTTGAATCCACCCGCATGAGCATTGGGACTTGGCATCATAGATGGTGTAGGACTAAGCTGAGGCATCATCTGCAGGATCCGGTTTCGAGAACCCATGGACATGTTGCCTTGCCCACACTGGAGATTTTCTCCACCTGGCATGAGTGGAGAAGGGGTAGAGCTGCAGCTTGGAGACTGAACCACAGATGCAGCAGGCGATGGATTGGAGATTGGACTGAAGTTTTGGTGGAACTGCATCGGTGACCTTACGGGAACTTCAGTCTGGCTATATTGTCCCACTTGACTTTGAAGAGAGTGTTTGGTGGCAGCATTTGAATACTGCATTACGTGCTGAGGTGGGTGCTGTTGCTGCTGCCCCTGCTGCCCACTTTGGGGCAGCTTAGATTGCTCAAAGCTTTTCATCGGTTGAGTTTGAAAGCTGTAGTTTGACTGGGTCCCATAGGCCTGCGCATTGGAACCCACAGCATGGCCTTCGTACTGCGACCCAGAATTCACATTGTAGCTTCCGTCATAATTCTGTCCTGACTGGCCAAAACGCTGTGGGGAAGGGAAAGAGGAGGAGGAGGATGACGAAGGTGGCTGATAGTGTTGGCTGAACTGACCCACTCGTAACTGGTAGCCTGAAGCAGAGGAAGGCAGGGTGGATGGACGCTGCATTGGCTGCAAGTGTGAGGTGCTAGAAGCAGACTGGCTGGAAGCCTGGGGTAAAGGCTGATGAGATTGATATATCTGCTGTCTCAGCTGCTGCACCTGCTGCTGCTGGCTAGAAGCCTGCTGCTGATACTGGGCACTCCCTGGAGAAAAAGGACCAGTATAATCCTGTTGATAGTGGGATACACCCCCAAGGGTCGAGTGTTGTGTTTGGAACTGGCCCACATGTCCCTCACTCCCATACTGACTCCCAAAGCTACTCCCTTGAGGGGGCCCATAGCTCTGTACTGGTCCAGAAGGCCTGCGCTGAGGCGGCTGCTGCCCTCCTGACACCACTGGATCTTTGTTGGCAGCCATATAGTAAAACTCTCCTGCTTCTTTTCTGAAACCTTGGTAGCTCTGATGGCCAGAGCTCTCACCAGGCATTGCTGTAGAGGCTCCTGTTGCTCCACGACGTCCACTGCCAGCACCTCCTCCAAAGCTCTGGAACATCTGGGCCTGCTGGCGGGGGCTGAACTCTTCCAGTCGGGATGAAGTATGCACTTCCTGCGGGTAGCTCTGCTGGTTTCCGTGATAACTACTTTGCTCCCGAAAGGACTGCATGCTGTTCAGCAGCAGAACAGTAGCTCAAAAGCCCTCCTAAATATGGAGAAAAAGAGAGGGGAAAAAAAAGGTATAACATGTTTCCCAGTCACACCAGTACCCCACTCAATTTCCCAGCTTCAACAACAATTAAAATTTAGTATTTCTCTTCTACTTCCTGGTACATCAATGTTTAACCCCTTGTCTTGCAACCTGCCAATCTTCCAGGTAATGCAGGCCAGTAGCCCACGACCAGTTGGAGTGCATTTCCATCATTAATATTTCCCATCATCATTTACTAATGTGCTTTTGTGCTCCTAAAGAGAGAAATTTCCAACAATATTTGCAAAGCAAAGGAGAGTAATCCTCACCATCCAGCTATTCCCTATAGCTAATACTGGGAGTAATCCAAGTATTTTGCTATCATGCTTAAAGACGTGACAAGAACCCTGCAATGCTTTCAAACCACCCTTGGATTTACCACAGGAATGATAGCCAAGATCCATGTTTCACACTGGGAAGATCTCTATAAGCAAATACTCAAGATACAATTGCCCAAAGCTCAAACCAAGATAACCCAATGACAGGATCTATGTGAGCGTGTGAAAGAGCTGGCACCAGCATACTCAGTGCTCAGATCCTGAGTAATTCCAGTGACACTCCTAAGTGAAAACCAACACAAGACAACACATTGCATTTTCTCCCCCAGCCATCTGCTTTGCTTTACAGGATGGAAAGTTGAAACAAGTTCACTCTATTTGAGCAAAACAGTCTACAACTTCATTCCTCAGGACTTTTATATTACCTTTAATGAAATAAAACTGATAACATTTGCCAGTCAATATATATATTTTGGAATACCATGCATGATCATCTACACTTACATAAGCAACTCATAAGTAAACAAACTCCAGGAAGGCTCTTCTCTGTATTTCAACATATTATTCAGTATGTGGAATTATGACTCATCCTCAAGGACTGGTCCACAACTGCTGAATTGTTTGGGGACCCTGACTAGTCCCTCTACAAAAGCCTGCCACATTACTAGATGAATTAAGAAAAGTACAGAAATTAACAAGTATGTGCATGCACACTGCCTTTAAACACCAAAACCAAACAAAGAAAATAAACAAAACCAACCAAACAAAACAAAACTCCCAAACTAACAGATGACATAAGCATTTCATGTCTGAAACACGTTGTGGTTTTCTCTTTCTGAAAAAAAAATATGGATAAAGCCACCTGGAGAGACTCCTTCCTTTAAAAGAATGTTAAGACAATGCTCCCACTTTTCCAGGAAACAGAACCCAAACTCCTCAGATTGGAGACTTCCTGGAAAACTTGCCTGCGTTATGTTTTCCTATTTAGCCATGCTTTGTGTTTGCCATGTTCAGCTGAACCCATTTAGAATGAATTTCTAGCTTTACACTTAAGTTTTGTCCAAGCAGATCACCAAACTCATAAGAAAACCCAGGCACACAATGAGATGCAGGCAAGATTTGGCATCTAGTTCTTTTCCCATCTGCCTACCAAAGTTTTTTTTTTACTAACATGTATGTTATCTACAGACCGACTCTATCACTGGAGTCTTTCATTTTCTACTATCTGTGTGTGTAGGCTACAGAATACACAGGCACAAAACCACCCCACAGTACTGCATATCTCTGCAGCCCCTTTCCTCTAACTCAAAGGCCTCTTTGTGTTGCATCTTTGGTTCATGTAGATTGATGCACATAATAATAATACTAGAATCAAAAGGGAACTGTCAAATTGTTAATAACACAAATTCTGTCTCTCTTCTTCTAGGAAGTCAATTTTACTGCTGTTTTAATCTTATATTTTGAGTGTCATGAGAGATCTGCTGTTCTGCTGAACTTCCACTTTTTTAGCATTTTAAAGACTACATATATCACATGAATAACACTTCTATGAATGCCACATTGTGCCAATCTGTCCAGTTCAGGCTTATTATGGATAAACTCCTCCTTTTTTCTGAATCATTGCTTTTGATGTTTCCTTAGTTTGAAGCTCTAGCCCTTTTGGGGTAGGACTAAAATTGGGATACCTAAGGCAAGCTTCTTAATTTTTTTGTGACTTGCTGGTAAGGCAAAAAAAAAAAGAGGGAGGAAAAAAAAGGAAAAAAACATACATAGAAGAAAGTTATCAAGCTAAATGTAAGAGAACATCTACTGCAACTGGCAGATGTTAAAAGCAGCTTCTCTAGATAAGCAGTGTGGGGCTCTGCAATCAGCAATGGTCACGTGCCATGGAGACTGCGTGCACACCCTGGCTACCACATGCTTGGCATCCATCCTCTTTTCGTGAAAGCAACATTTCCATCCTCTCACAGGCGCAATCTCCCACAGAATCTCAGGCTCAATTTTTAAATATGACTTTACCAAAGCTTACTTTGCATAGTCTGGAAAAGATCTCAGGAAGCCTCTTCTGCATTACATCATACAAAAACTTTAATCTCGGAATGATATTCATTCTCTGTAACGCTACCAACAGGCTTGAAAAACTGCTACATTTTCAAGCTAATGTATGTTAACAATGCTGGCAAACATTCTTAAGACTTGTTTACTATTAAAAAAGAGTAATTTTAATTATATAACGAATAGAAACAGCACAAGATGCTGAAAAATGCCCTTAAGAACAGAGATACGGTAAAGGTGAACCAAGGCACAAATTCTTACCCTCCATAATCTCATGTAATCATATAACATTTATTTAGTCCAGAAGCTATATATGCTTAACTCAAAACAGGGAGAACATATTTCTCTGCTTCAATTTATTTTATTTTTTTCAATCTTGGAATTTACCCTGACAAACAAATAAGAAGTTTTTATCAGGACAACGCTTGCTTTCAGTATTTCACAAGGAGCCTAACTTGAGTAACATATCGAGTAGAATAGCTCCCTAAAAGAAAAAAGGCATTTCATTAATAACAGGAGTAAAAAAAGGACATGCTCTGACCCATTACATCACTGATAACTTAAGACATACTAGCACATTTCCTGTCATTAATGTGCTAAAAATACAGAACTATTACAATTACTACTGCAATAGCCTTTCTTAATAGTAAGAGCCCTGTAAAGTGCTTCTAAGTGCTATACTCTGAGCAAAACCACTGAGAATAATCCCCTGGACAAGTCTTGTTAATAAAATACATTCAGATAGATAAGGCCTTCAAAGTCTACCCCCATCCACATGCAAAAAAAGGGTCTATTTTATTTTTTTTTTTACTCGAAGCCTTTAAAGAAAACACTTTCAGCTGGTATATATTCCCCCTCATGCATGATCTCAAGAGGACAAAGCAACATTGCCAACTAGAGACTACAACACAATCATATAAAACTCTGTAATGCCAGTGGTACACATCCATAATGCCATCCCCAGCAGAAGGGACACAGTCCTGCCTCCATACAAGTGTTTTGTTAACAGCCACAAATTACACACATTTACAGTTCTTTCCAACACACACAATATGCAATGTCTTCGTTTATTCAAAGGGAAGGTAAGAGTCTGGCATAGCTTTAACTACTCCAATGTCACACCTACACTCTTGCTACACGTGCATGCAGCTCCCTCAGTAAAGCTGCATGACTTTAAAGTATTTATAGCTTGTAGCTGTAGAGCCATCTAAGAACATCCATCTAGATGCTGCAGACTACACTCACTAGGCTAAGCAGTTTCACTTTGCTCCAACACATTCATTTCTCCCCCAACAGCCCAGTAATCAAAATTTGCCTTCAATCTGGCAGGAACAAAGGAAACATATTACAAGCTTGTGTGGCTGATAAAGAACAGCCTCACTCATGGAATCACTGCACAGAAGTCTTGACTAGAAAGAAGCAATAAGTCCTCTTACCCAAATTTCAGACTTATTTGTGAAATATGTAAAGTTATTTCAAGCACTGTATCAATTGATCTTCTTCATGTGAACTTATTTTTAAGCACAATGCATATTTTCTATCCTGTTTGATCATGTGAAACAGCCTCATAGAACTTTGTTAACATAGGGGTTCCTCAAAATACAAATCTACTGCACTGTGACCTTGCTGTGCGCAAGATTATCCAATGCTAGTCAACAGCATGTAAGCATCTTTCAATGCTTCCTGCGTGTGTATCAGTGCCCCCAACCAGTGCTGATTAACAGAACTCATCAGTACTCCCACATCAAGATTACTCTGTGAAATTATCTTCTCCAATACACCATGCTAGGCTTTCTTTCACAGACACATAAATCTTTACAACTCTTTTTGTCCCGGTTATCAACGACTGGACAAATAACAGGACAGCTGCCCAGATCGCCCCACGTAACACTGATGCCAACATAGTAATGCATCGCTACAGACAGCTCATAACAAGTGAACTAAAAACCAAAATACTGTGCGGACACACCTAATTCTTGACTATAAGCCTATAAAGGAGCAAATGAAACGACCATCAGTCCATTCAGTAGGACATAAGTGAGGTCTTTCGGCTTTGTTAAATTTTGTTTAGATTTGGGTTGACTACCGTGATCCATCTGTGCAGAGAAGTCTCAGGCAGCAGTCAAATGCAATGTATCTTTAGTGCTCTGTCAAAAGCCTCTCACTTCCTAGCATGCTTATCAGGAAATAAAAAGCAGTTACAGGCAGGCAATGAACAGTAAGACCATATTTTCTATAGGTCAAAATGTACAGTAAGAAGTTGGGAGGGTTATAGAGTGTCCACAGTTCTGATTAAAATAGACTCACTTGCTAAATGCTGCACAAGTGACAGAGATGTATGTATATTTGCAGCCATTTCTTGCCACAACTCATACAAAATGCAAAAATCACTATTTTTGTCCTTCCTTGTTCTATCTTCTTAAACTAGCAGAAAACACACATAACCAAAACAATCTCAAAAGCCAGAACCTGAATATGAAAAACTCAGGAGTATATTTTGTAAGAAATAATGCCCATGCTCCAAATTCAGCTAGAAATAGAGGAAAATGGGATTTCCAAGTACTGAGTACCATTTCTATTGTCAAGGCCAAGTTGGTAACCCCCATTTCTGCAGGTACAGAG